AGTGTAAATAAATAAATGTAAATAATTTATAAAATTTATAAAAGAAAAAAAATAACAATAATAATAATAATAATAATAACAATAATAATAATAATAACAACTACAAATGACGTCAACTAAACCAAAGTATGAATAACGCCGACAGTAACGTACCGGGGTGTTATATGGACCTGTGATTTTCAAACTCAATAATAACAATAACAATAACAATAACAACAAGAATAACAATGCAATAACAATAAAATCATTATCACCACCACCGTCAGCTACAACAACATCAGCAACATCTGTATCGATTTAACAACTTTTATTTTAACGAAAAAACTCTTTAATTGAGATATAAAAGAAATAAAATATGTTCTGATTGTTTTTACATACAAAACGTGCACGTGTGTTTGTTTGTGTGTGTGTGTGTGTGTGTGTGCATATAGATGTGCGTGTGTGTGTATGTGTATGCATGTATGCAGATGTGTGTATGCTTGTGTGTTTGTATTTATCTAAATGTGTCCTTCATTGTATGAACACAATTTTATGTATGTTTGCATATGTGTATGTATTTGTTTGTTTGTTTGTTTGTATGTATGTATGCTTGTATATATGTTATATATATACATATATGCGAATATATATGTATATGTATATATATATACATATACATGCAGATGGCTGTAACATGCTGATTTTCATTGTAAGTCGATTTATACATGGATTAATGATGGTAAGTCAATAGCCTTATATAGTCTATACATACACTTATATGAATACCAGTTAATGATATCATTTGATACTTGGATAGATATCAATGATATAATATCTTGGTATCTTGATAATAGCTTGATACTTTTATTTTAACAACGGATTTTTTGTTATTTAGTAAATATTTACCTCTTATTTTATGCAATTTCTATGATAATGGTGATATGGTGATGATGGCTAATGTGATGGTTGTGACGATTTTAAAGTTCCAAGATGATGATAATGATATCGTGATGATCATGATGATGATGATGACGATGATGATGATGAGGTGGATGATGATGATGAAGATAACAACAATGATGTTAAATCACTTTAAAATCCCATTCTCTCAAAGTTTCATTTGAAAACCTGTAGTGTGTTCTCCGTTCTAAAAATTTTTTAAAATTTAAAAATAATGCAAATTTTACATTCTCTAATTTTTACAACTAAAAAATCACTCCATCAGCAAAGCAACAACACTCAAGCACCTAACTTTCTGTACTCAAGCAACTAACTTTCGGTACTCTAGTACTTCCACCAGTGTATTGATACTAACCACTAACAACGAAATTGCTACATCGATTGTACTTACAACCAAACTACAACAACTAACATATTAACAAGCATAATTATCTTGACGTTAACTTAACTAATGATGATGTTTCAATTAAATTGCGGTCATAATTTTGGCGCCAATCAATAGGTATAATCTCGTCTGGTTGGTCATGTTTTGTTTTCTACGTGTGTATGCTATCTTATCTTTATGTCATGTTATGTTCACAGGTTGGTAGGTTAGTTCTATGACAAAAGTAGAAATTTGATCACGTTTTTGATACATTTTACATTAGCAATAATATTAATAATATGATAATAATAACAACAACACAACAACTCAACAACACAAACTGCACAACAACACAAACAACACAAACAACACAACAACACAAACAACAACACAAAAAACAACAAAAACAACCACACAAGCAACACAACAACACAAACAACAACACAAACAACAACACAAACAACCACAACAACGCAACAATATCTGAACATTACAAAAATCGAACGGGAAGAAAAGAAATTTCCTTAATTAACCGGCTAATAATGGCACAACTAACAAAAGTGTCAATAAGTCCTCTTGATAATGATGAAGATGATGACGATGATGCCGATGATGATGTTGCATAAGATGATAATGATGATAGAGTTTCGCTGGTAATATCGTGTACTTGCTAATAACTGTCGCCGATGGGTTGCATAATTTTGTAAAATGTTTGTTTATAGTTTGTAATTTGTTTGTATGTCTGCCTGTTTGTTTGTATAGTTGTATGTTTCTGTAGTTGTGTGTTTTTTGTACGACCGTATGATTGTATGTTTAATTGTATGGTTGTATGTTTCTGTGGTTGTATGTTTGTTCGTATGATCGTATGATTGTATGTTTGATTGTACTTTTGTATGTTTGTGTGGTTGTATGTTTGTTTGTATAACCGTCTGATTGTATGTTTCATTGTACTTTTGAGTGTTTGTATGTCTCTATGTAGTAAATATTAACTAATTAATTAATTAAACCTTTTTTTCTCATCCCAACTTTCCAAAAATTTTCATAGAGACCCGACAACAGCTGCAACAAAACTTACTTAATATATAGTTGTCCTCTATCCAAATTTGAAATTACGATAATGACAAGTGAATGAGATGATTGTATGAATGGAAGTCACTTATAATTAAATATACAATCTAACTAACGTACATACATATGTGTGTGTGCGTGTGTGTGCGAGCGTGCGTACGTGTGTGAATGTATGTGTTTGTGTGGTGTTAAACACACATGATTTCTACTTATAAAATACACATAAAAAGACAAATATAACCTACACACATATATATACATACATACATAGATGCATAGATACATACATACACACATACACACATACACATACAAACCTATACACAAGCAAACAAACGAATATACATCCGTTATTGTTGTTTTTTCCAATCGATTTCCGGGCAATTAATTTGATTGCGTTAGTGTCACATAGCTACACTCTTGAATCTTACTTGATTCGTTAGATATTATGTTGATGTTACATGATGCGTGTATACGTTAGTTTGTTTGTGTGTGTGTGTGTGTGTGTGTGTGTGTGTTTATGTATGTATAAATGTAGGTATGTACGCACTCTTTTAAAAAAATCAAATTTAGTAAATTTATGTTTAATTAATTAAGCTGGCAATGCTAGATAAGCTTCATTCAGGTTTCACCATTGTCACCCTTGTCTTTGGATTGCATTTTATTGTAATTTTCTTTTCAGAGACTAAATAAATTTTCGTTTCGTTCCATTTCGATCCGTTGGTTTGCATGTATTCAAGCAGGTAAACCACAACACAAAGCAACCCAATAACGACAAATCAACAATAACGACACATCAACAACAACAACAATAACAACAAACAACAACAAACAACAACAACGACAACAAAACGCCATCATTAAGAAAGTCCTCAGAATTCACACGCTCAAAATTCTCGTCACTATTGAAATACTAAAAAAGTATTTAAATGTAAACCCAAGTGTAGGCAATAAAACCATCGTTCTGACAGTAATTAAAACTGCAAGCATGCTAACAAACGTCGTGAATGTGCGATTTGCAATTATTTATTTCTCGTTATTATTATTTTTATTATTTATTATTACTAATATTATTATTGATTATTATCAATTTTATTATTAATTATCGTTATCATTATCGTAAAGTGAAATGCAATTACATTTTAGCGCCGTTTATGTTTATTTTTTCATCCTTTTAACAAGGAGAGTTTCTGAATAAAAATTTTTTTGTTTCATTCCGTGTGAATTAGTCTACATTTTGTCATTACGTGGAAAATAAAAACTAAACGATTGAGAAGAATTGTGTGTGAGTCAGGGTTTGGAAACTTCGGAAGCTTACATCTCGAAAGCTACTGATCAGAATTGGAATGACTTTTTTGGTAAAAAATAATGTTTAATTATGGAAAGCTTGAAATGGTGAGGTGAAGATTTTGAGATCGTTCAAATCGATCAAGGTTTAAAAATTCATGTCCAACAAAAGTTCACGGGCAAAATTTTAAAATTTCACCAAATTATCTATTTCTAAAGCCCTCTATAGAATGAATGTAATTTTATAATCTTAGGGTCACCCATCCGAATTGCTGACCGCGATCAACCGGCAAGTTAAGCAATGATGGGGATAAATAAATAATACGTTGATATTGATTCACTTGGTTGTTGTTCTTAATGTTATATGAATTGGTGAAAATTTACTGAACAATTTTAATGTTTAATGTTTAAATTTAAAAATAAATAATTAAATTTTCATTGACATAACAAAATCTCCAACAATTTTGTTTGTTCTTATGTTTGTTTGATTGTATAGATGATTGTATATTGTATTGTATATTGAATTGTATTGTATATTGTATTGTATTGTATTATATATTGTATTGTATTTTATATTTGTGTATGTTTTTATGTTTGTTTGTGTGTCAGGCTACATAAAGTTCATGCGCATGGTTTTCGAGATCGTCAACCAATTGAGTTGTTGATAATCTTCAAGTATTCACCTAATGATAAGATAACAAGGAGTGGTACACACACACACACACACTAAGATAACAAGGAGTGGTACACACACACACACACACACACACACACACACACACACACACACACACACACACACACACACACACACACACACACACACACATACACACACACACAAACATACACACAAACACACACACTTTAAGGCGTAAACAGGTACGTTTTGTTTGCATACTTATTGTACAAATCCTTGAATCTGTTATATAAGATCACTATAAAATATTAAACAAATTTACACAAGTACGACGATAAGGTACATATATATATATACATATTACATATATACATACATATTAACACATACAAGGATACATACACACATGCATACAAACAAACAAACACACACACACAGACAATCCACGTGTATATTTTATCTGATATATATGATATATAGTATAATTGAATAATAAGGCCATGACACCCATGGACAGTTTAACATAATTTGACACATAGAAAACAAAAATCAGTGTTCTTGGCAAAAAGTTTTTTCAAATTCATTACTTTTTCAACAGAGAACGTTGTTATAATAAATATATTTTGTAATTTTTAAAATCAAAATTTTTCTAATCCAAGTAAAAATAAAGCAATAGGAAAGTGAGCAGACTGTTTTAGAAGAATGTCTGTAAGTAAATTTGAATCATCTAGAGTCATCGTTATCAGCATCATCATTGTTATCCTCATCTTTATCATCGTCATCATCATTGCATTTCATCATCACTAGCAATCATCATGGTCGTCGTCCCAAACTTTTTGCTGTTTTTTCGGTTTTTATCTTGTTATGTCATTTTTTTATCTTATTGAGAATTATTTTTATTTTTATGAACGCTAGATCGTTGCATATTTCATTTTTTAAATTTTCCAAAAAATGATTTTGTCTGGACTTAAATCTTGGTTTGTCAGGTTCATCAGCCTGACGGTGGAAACAACAAACCGGACAGTATAAGAGTGATACACATCGGTCAGTCGGATCAGCAGCAGCAGCAAAAAAACCAACATAGAAAATATGCCTCAAACCGTATTACGTCATCACAAGTACTGAGTGAATGAATGAATGAATGAATGAATGAATGAGTGAGTGAGTGAGTGAATGAATGAATGAATGAATGAATGAACGAACGAACGAATGAATGAATGAAACACAAATAAAAACACACACAATCACACACACGCACTCACACACACAGTACACCTTACTGAACTTCATTCCAAAGATCTTGTTTGAGCAGTTTCACAGACTGGCCAATATATACTTCTTGATCGTGGCTCTGATAAGCGTTAGTTATATTACTTTTGCTAATAATAATAATAATAAAATAATAATAATAATAATAAAATATGATTATTATTATTATAGTTTTTTGTTGATACTTCGGTAAGCGGTTGGGCGACACTAGCGCCATTGATTTTCGTCGTTGGATTGACTGTCGTTAAACAGGTTGTTTTGATCGTTTTTATGGCTGTTGTGGATGTCTTTGTGGCTGCTGTAGTTTTCATGTGGCTGCTGTGGCTATCTTTGTAGCTGTTGTAGTTGTTTTTGTGACTGTTGTATTTGTTTGCATAGTTGTTTTTTGTGATTGTGGTTACTGTTGTAGTTGTTTTTGAGGCCGTTGTGGCTGTTTTTGCGGCTGTTTCAACTGCTTTTGTGGCTGCTGTAGTCGTTGTTGTTGTGTTGTTGCTGTGTTAATGTCGTTGCTATGATGTGACTTGCTTTTTGTTAAAATTTAAAATTATTAAAGGGCTACGAAGATTTTTTGCGTCACCGTGCCGACGGTGAAGTCAACAACAAGAATTGTCATGTGATAAAATCGGGTCAATTGATTGACGTTAAAGCAAAGAACATAAAGGTGAGTTTGCAAAAAAGTACATCATCATCAACATCACTCATCTTCATCACCATCATCATCTTCATCTTCTTCTTCATCATCATCATCATCACTCTCTTCATCTTCTTCATCATCATCATCTTCTTCATCATCATCATCATCATCATCATCGAAGGTAGGTGATATAGTGCGGGTAACGTGTGATAAAGACGTACCATGTGATCTAGTCATGTTGTCATCATCTGAGGAGGATGGGGGCTGCCATCTGACTACTATGAACCTGGACGGAGAAACTAATTTAAAGGCATTTACTTATAATGATTACAATAATAATATTAATAATAAATACGGCTGTAGTAGTAGCAGCTGTTGATGTAGCAATTGTTAAAGTAATTCTGTAGTAGAGGTGATAGAGGTAGTGGTAGTTTTAACAGTAATATTATTAGTATAGATAGTAGTATTATTATTATTAATATTACTATTATTATTATTGTTATAATTTTAGTTATTATTCTTGTTATAATTACTGATGACGGTGTCCTCAGATGTACATGAGCCCGAAAGAGACAGCGCGTTACAACACCCCTGACAACATCAGCAAGTTAAGAGCAGTCATCGAATGTGAACAGCCAACGAAGAATCTGTACAAATTTGTTGGCAAGATAATCGTTGAAATGGAAGCACGTGACTCTGTTGATGACGCTATTGCAGCAGCTGCTACTGCTGCAACGTCATCGTCGTCGTCGTTATCATCTTTCCAACAATCGTATTCATCGTCGGAAAATTCTGTTTTGAAGCGTGACAACAACAAATTCAATCAGAGTAGTAACAGTATTGATGATGATAGAAATAACAACAACAACAACATCAGCTACAACAACAACAACAAAAACAACAATTACAATAACAATTTCTTAAATAATGCCGATGATAAAAAGACTGTTTCTTGCAGCCTGGCTTCATCTAATTTACTCTTGAGAGGAACGACTTTAAAAAATACCGAATATATCATAGGTTTTGCACTTTTTATTATTATTTTTTGTATGTATTACTAATACAATAATAATAAAATTAATTATAATAATGATGACAGTTTTTGATTCAAACATTTGGAAATAAAATTGAAGAAATACTAAGGATGCAAACATTATATTATGGCTAAATATGTTTATAGAAATCATAATTATAGAATATAGAATAATAATAATTATTAATGTAACTGAAATTATAATAATTATCAGTATTGTTGTAATTGAGATAGGAATAATCAATATTATTCATCATAGGCTGCGCAGTCTACACCGGTCTGGAGACAAAAATCTCGCTAAACACGATGCATCACAACCACAAGTACTCCAAGATCGAAAGGTCATCGCCGATTTTTTAAAATTTGATTAATTATAATTAACTATAAAAAATTGTAAAATAATATAAAAATATGCAAGGCCCGGTTTTGAAGCAGAGCCGACAGGGCCTCTGCCAGGGGCCCCACAAAAGTGTCCCACCTTACTGTTTTTAATAAGGAATTGCTCAAAATGAATTTGGGGCTAGTATTAAAAATGTAACCAACTTTTTCAAAAAACAATTTTCCCCAAAATTAAGGGCCTCCCTAAATAATTGGTGAGTCTCCAATTTTTCGTTGCTCTAGGGTTTCCACACTTATAAATCCGGTCTTGAAAATATTAACACACACACAAACACACACAAACACACTCAACAACACAGGAGGTTGAATGATTTTTTGATATTTTACTTCGTCGTCCTCCTGATAATCTCTGTACTATGGGAATTATTCGCCTACATATTCTACGAAGTTAATGAGTCGAGATTCACTGGCTCGTGGTTCTTGCTGGAAGTTCCATCAGTGAATGTTTGTAATTATTTCATTTGTATCTATTTATTTCATTTTTTTTAAAATAAGAACTATACATTTGTAGGTTATTTTATTTACTCTATGTCTCCCTCTCTCCCTCTCTCTTTCTCTCTCTCTTTCTCTCTCTCTTTTGTTCTTTTTCTGTTTTTTTATTTCTTCCTTGTCCTTATCATCATCACATTCAGTTCTCTCTCTTCGTCAAAGAATTTTTCCTGTTCATGGTCTTATTCAACTACATCATCCCCATATCCATGTATGCTACCATCGGTTCGTTTGCTCTTCCTTTATTTAAAATGAATGATGATAAATAATAAATATCACTAGTTTTAATTATTATTCAAAAACTATTCTAATTAATTATCTCATTGTTTGTTAATTAAACATTCAAATTTTGATTTTATTGATTTAAATAAATAAATATTTTGTAATACAGATTTAGTTATACCTTGTTTACGTGACGAATTTTATTGGATACTAATTTTTCAAACGTTAATAAAAGCATTTACGTATGCATTGGTATATTTACCGATTGGTCAGCAACCCTCAGTAACGCAAGAATATTTAAAAAATTTAAAATAATTATAATTTACAGCAGGGGTGGGCAAACTTTTTGCTGTGAGGGCCGCATCGAGAACTATTTTTTTGGCGAACAATGGCCTCGCGGGCCGCATAAAATAGCTTCGCGGACCGCATGCCCACAACCATGTTGTTAACAGTATTATAAACAACAACAAACAACAACAGTAACAACAATTTCATATAATCGAAATTCTTCTAGAGTTGCAGAAATTTTTTAGTTCCATATTTTTTGAGTGGGATTTGGACATGTACGACGATGAAATTGGCGAGCGCGCGAAGGCCAACACGTCTGACCTCTTAGAAGAATTGGGACAGGTTAACTATTGACCTCTGTATAAATAGTTTTATTGTTAATTTTGTTATTTCTCGGTTTTCGATGTTTTTATGATAGTTTACGCATTTGCAACTTTTTATGCAAACCATGCTACAATGAAACCTGAAAAATAACGAAAATTGCAAATAGAATGAATCTTCTGATTAAAAACACAAAAAAAAACTAAACTTTTAAAGGTCCAATATTTGTTTGCTGATAAGACCGGAACATTAACACAGAACAACATGGTGTTCAGAAAATTATTTGTTCACGACCGAGTCTACGAAGAAATTGACGGAAAGTTGTATGAAGTTAATGATGTTGATATTCGTGGTGAAAACTTTGGTGATGAAGGTAGTGGCAAAACAAATGAATTAGAATTTGCATTGACATGCCTGGCTCTATGCCACACCGTCAGAATTGATAAGTTACATCAACAGCAACACAGACCACCACCACTACCACAACAGAAGCAACAGAAGCAGCAGCAACATAAAAAATTATTGTATCAGTCTGCCTCTCCAGATGAAAAAGCACTCGTAGAAGCTTGTGCCAGGTTTCTTGGATAACATATTTTGTTAAAGTTTTGCCAAAATATTATTATTATTATGACGACAACGACGATAATAATAATAATAATAACAAAAATAACAATAATTATCGATTGCAACAGTTTAACTTATTCATTTTAGATAATAGCGAGTAGATTTTTTTTCAAAAATTTGCGCTAATTCTTTCATTGGTATGCACTCTTTTTTCAAAATATTGATGACGTTTTCAATGTGTACAGGGTTGGTCGTGGTGACCCTTAACATGTAACATATAATGATGTGAGTGAGCGTTTTGCCCGTATTTTCTCAACAGATTTGGTGTAGTGTTCGAAGGACTCGAGAACGACGTGATTATAATCGCCTACAACAACTTCAGCAACAACATTAACATCAACAACAACGATAACATCAACAACGACGACAACATCAACAACAATAATAACAGTAGCAACAGCATTAACATCAACAACAACATTAACATCAACAACAACGACAATAATATCGACAACAATATTAACAACAACAGCACCAGCAACAACATTAACAACAACACCAATGTTTCCGATGAACGTATGACAAATACAAATGAGATAAACATGACACAAGTACAAGGCGAAAAAGTTCGGACAACTGGAACCGCGAAAACGTCGTCAAGAAAGTTTAAAAAACAATTCAAGCTGCATCACATTCTGGAGTTTGACTCGGTCAGAAAAAAGATGAGCGTTATTGTCGAAGAACTGACTAACAATGATGACGACGACGACGATGATGATGGTTACAACGCTGATAATGATGCCAAAATTAATAATGAAACCATCAAAGATGATGACGTTGATAGTGAAAATTCTACTCTTACCACCACCAACAACAACAACATTCAAAAAAACAAAAAAGAAGGTTTCAAAAATAATACAAAGAAAACTGATTCAGAAAGAAATCGATTCTTGGTCATTTGCAAGGGAGCCGAATCAACAGTGCTCGAAGGTTTAGCCAGTGGTCAACCAACCCAACTCATTGACGGAGTCGAGAAGCAAGTTGAAAGATTTGCCGAGGTGTGATAGATCTGTGTAACATACAATCCTCAAAAAATAATTAAATATAAAGTTGCCAATAACTGAAATATCTATTTGAGCTGGTGTCAATATGATGTACTAGTTAAAGCATATCAGTTTCTCACAGCTTTTAAGAGTCTGAGGCTTAGCTATATTTACGTGCTCTACGCTGTACGCTGTTGCTGTTTTGGAGAGTTAATTTAGAAAAAATTGTAAAATAAAAACTACTAGAAATTTTTTAACCCTATAATTTTTAGGATGGATATCGAACGTTGGTTGTAGCCTACAGAAGTTTATCTTTTGAGGAGTTCCAAAGATTCAATGTTCTGTTGAATGAAGCTAAAGAATCACTTGTCAACCGAGAAGATAAAGTAGTTTAATTATATCTATAATTAATTAATTAATATCATTATTACAAATAAATTAGTCACACCTATAGTTATTTATTTATTTATTGTTAAAAAATATTTAGTTAATTATAATTAATCAATAATAACAATGAAACTAACCAACGCCAGTTGAATGAAGCTTACGACTCAATAGAGCGAGATATGTTTGTAGTCGCAGCGACAGCCATCGAGGATCAGCTACAAGAGGATGTAGCCGCTACTATTGAAGCGCTGAGAGAGGCGGGAATCAAAGTAATGATGATGACGACGACGATGATGACGACGATGATTGTGTTGTTGATGATGTTGATATGGTGGTGATGATGATGTGATGATAAAGATGATGATAGTGATGAAATTGGTATGTGATAAATTGTTGTTTTCAGACGTTTCTGATTATTTGTCTAAAGCGCTATAAAAATAAATTATTATAACAAATTATTATAATTATAGACATAATTATCAATTTTTCATATTAGGTCTGGGTGCTAACGGGCGATAAAGAAGAAGCGGCGATTAATGTGAGTTACTCGTGTGGTCACCTGACCAAAGATATGATAAACCTTCAACTGACCAGACAGATGAATAGAGACAGCTGTCATGAGAGTCTCATGGCGTTCAAAGAAATGTTGGAAATTAATACAAATCATAATTATATTAATAGTAATATTAACTGTTATTATTGATGATATTTTGATTACCATCATGATAAAATATGCGATTAAAACGATGATGAAGCTGGTTACTGGATGATAATAACTAGTAAGTTGTAAAAGAGACATTGAATTTATAAATGACTATAAAATTAAGAGCTAGAAAAAAGGTTTTGTCCTTACTGATGATGAAAATGGTATTAATGATAATGTAATAATGATAATGTAGTGATGATGATACCGAAAAGATACGGCGAATGATGAAATTTTAATAGTGACTCAACAACATACAGACAAAACTGCATTGATACTAATGAATAAAAATTTCACTAACTACTATACAATTAACTCTTGCGATGCAATTGTAGACTGGACCAACGAAACTCACAACGAAACTCTAAACACGCGTTGATAATTGACGGAAAGAGATTATCATTCTGTCTGGAAGACGATGAAATCCAGAATTTGTTAACAACTGTCTCGCAGATGTGTGAGGCCGTTCTATGTTGCAGGATGTCACCCATGCAAAAAGCCTTCGTTCGTCTTTAGATTTCAGATTTTTGATTTTTAAAAAATTCATTTATCACCGCATATTTTTATACTATATCATTAAACAGATATAATTCTTTTTAATATTACTAATATAATATTTTATTATAATTATGATTGTAATTAATAGAAGTGATCAACTGAAAATTGAAAGGTGGTAAAGCTGATAAAATGCACAGCAAACAGCCCAACGACTGCAGCTGTGGGGGACGGTGCCAACGATGTCAACATGATTCGAGAGGCCCATGTCGGGATAGGTAGGTAGGTAAGAATGAATGAAAGAATGAATGAATGAACGAACGAACGAATGAATGAATGAATGAATGAATGAATGAATGAATGAATGAACGAACGAACGAATGAATGAATGAATGAATGAATGAATGAATGAATGAATGAATGAATGAATGAATGAATGAATGAATGAATGAATGAATGAATGAATGAATGAATGAATGAATGAATGAATGAATGAATGAATGAATGAATGAATGAATGAATGAATGAATGAATGAATGAATGAATGAATGAATGAATGAATGAATGAATGGATAAATTAGTAAATGGTTGGATGAATGAATGAGTGATTACATCGAACTATCTTGACGAGCTGATCATCTCATCTCATTGTTTGTCTTCGAAAGGGATAATGGGCAAGGAAGGAAGGCAGGCTGCCAGATCAAGTGATTACGCCATTGGAAAATTCAAATTTTTAAAAAAGGTACTCATGCTAATACACACAAACACACACAACAAACACACACACACACGCGCACACACACGCACACATTAATAGTTACTCCTAGTACACGGACACTACTTCTACTGTAGACTGGCCTATCTTGTCTTGTACTCATTCTACAAAGTAAGGCCGTTTGTTTACATGTTAAGTATGGTTTAAAGATTTGGTTCGCCATTTTTTATACAGTTTATAGCTCATGAGTTCTTTTAATATTTAATAATACTTTTTAATAATAATTAACAATAATTAATATTATTTAATAATATGATCGTAGAATGTTGCTATGACGGGAGTGCAAATCTTCTACACGATATTTTCTGCCTTTTCTGCACAGGTCTCTTAGAATTCAATGGCATTTTTGTTCGATTAAGAAATGACTGACTATATGTATGAAAAAATGACTGATCAAATGAACGAACGCATGAATGAATTACTAGATGGATGGATGGGTAAATGAATGGTTGGATGGATGGCTGGCTGACTGACTGAATGAATGAATGAATGAATGAATAAGTGAAGGAATGACTGACCATTTAAATAATAAGATAAATGAATGGGTGATATAGCGAAAAATTCATTGACTACATAAAAATAAAAAAATTTACCAAAATCTAACTAAATTAATTTTCAAATCGATCACTATAATTTAATAATTATCAATAAGAATAATAACAATAACTCAATAAAAATTAATGATAATAATTATTATTATTATTGTGATTAACTATAATTACAAATATGCAAATCCAAAACAGACGGTCTTCAGCAGTTTCTACCTGATGTTTTACAACACAACATTCACCGCTCTACCCATAATTTTATTCGCCATATTCGAACGGCACCTACCCAGTTCGATCCTGATGTCATCGCCATTTTTATACACGTACGTTTTGTTACTATTTATAAAAATATGAACGAAGTCACGTGATTTCCGAAAAGTTTATTAATAATAGTAATAATAATATCATTAATAATAATATTCTACCAATATTTAAAAAAGGCGACAGACTGGAATGAATGTGTATGAATGGATATGAATGGGTATTAGTGGGTATGAATGTGTATGGATTGATATGAATGTGTATGAGTGGGTATGAAAGAGTATGAGTGGGTATGATTGTGTATGGATTGATATGAAAGTGTATGAGTGGGTATGAATGTGTATGGATGGATATGAATGTGTATTAGTGGGTATGAATGTGTATGGATGGATATGAATGTGTATGAGTGGGTATGAATGTGTATGGATATGAATGTGTATGGATTGATATGAATGTGTATGAGTGGGTATGAATGTGTATGGATGGATATAAATGTGTATGAGTGGGTACGAATGTGTATGGATGGATATGAATGTGTATGGATATGAATGTGTATGGATGGATATGAATGTGTATGAGTGGGTATGATTGTGTATGGATGGATATGAATGTGTATGGATGGCTATGAATGTGTATGAATGGGTATGAATGTGTATGGATGGATATGAATGTGTATGGATTGATATGAATGTGTATGAGTGGGTATGAATGTGTATGGATGGATATAAATGTGTATGAGTGGGTACGAATGTGTATGGATGGATATGAATGTGTATGGATATGAATGTGTATGGATGGATATGAATGTGTATGAGTGGGTATGATTGTGTATGGATATGAATGTGTATGGATGGCTATGAATGTGTATGAGTGGGTACGAATGTGTATGGATGGATATGAATGTGTATGTCTATATACAAAACTGCATATAGAATACCTGATTGAATCTATCTATATAAGCTATAGATAGAAGAAAATAGGATCACATACGTATATCAAAATATCTACGTACACGTCAGCACACACACATACATACAACTGAGCATACATGATGTCATAAATATTTTATAAAAATGTAATTTATATTCTTAAAACTAGTGATTTTAATTAATCAAACTAATAAATGCTTTCAAATGATGGTTAAAGTTCTGCATGTTCGATCTGTCATAATTAAATCCTTTATTTAATAAAAAATTCCAAATTCTGGGTCCTCTGCAAATGATGTGTTGATGTAAAATTTTCGTTTTTGATTTGTTGGAACAGATGAAATTGATGCGCCTTTGATTCTTCGTTCGTTTATAATAACCGTCAAAAATAGGAGGTAGTTTACCAGTCAATTGTTTGTCGATGAATTTTGCCGCGTGATATGTACTCATTTGATCGAAAGTCAGATTGCTTTTCCTGGCGAATAGCGGTTGTGAATGGGATTGAGCTTTGGAAAGTGTGATTGTTCGCATTGCTCTCTTCATGATTATTCTTATTGGATTTTTTGTAGTTGGATAGGCGCTTGACCAGACTGTATTGCAGTATGAGATATATGGAGTACAGATGGCTTTATATAGCATGTTAAGAATTCTTTTAGGCAAAAAAATTTTTATTTTATTTAATAAACCAATTGATCTTGCTAGTTTTGTGCAAACATGTTGTTGAAAAGATAATTTTTGATCCAATATTACTCCTAAAAATTTAACAGTTTTGCTTTCGAGAATATCCGAATTATTTATTACGATCTTATATGGCTCCTTGTAGTTTAAATATTGGACTGGGCCAAAAATAATCATTTGAGTTTTTCTGCTATTCAATGTCAACATATTACATTCAAACCATGAGACGACCTTTTTAATTTCACTATTAGTCTTCAAGATGAGTTCATCGATGTTTTTGCCTGTACTGAATAGATTAGTATCATCTGCGAAGCAAATGTAATCAAAGAATGTTGAAACTTTCGGGAGATCGTTGATGAAGACAATGAATAGCAATGGACCCAAAATACTGCCCTGAGGTACTCCAATTTGGTTTAATTTTTCGCTCGAGCATGTACCCTGCCAGCTAACAAATTGACTTCTCTCCGATAATTAACTTCTGAACCATTTCAGTTGCGAACCACGTATTCCATAATGGTCTAGTTTCGCCAGCAAGATGTTGTGGTTGATGCAATCTAATGCCTTCGAGAGATCAAGGCACGTGCCTACGATGTATTTTTTGTCTTCTGCTGCGATCCCTATTTTTCTGATCAATTCTATTATTGCCAGCTCAGTCGAGTACTTCTCTCGAAATCCAAATTGTGAATCGTTAATTATGGAATTTTTTTTGAAGAAGATATTTAGCCTTTTGTACATTACTTTTTCGATGAACCTAGTTTTATAGCTATACCGGTGAAATAATCGTTTAAGGCATCCGCAGGAGAACGAACAATTTCACTGTTTGATGTGACGGTATTGGTGATTTTATTTGTGCTGATAATGTTCTTAATAATCGACCACGTTCTTCTGTTATCTTTTATGTTCTTTTCTATGATGTCGCGGTAGTATTGTTTTTTTAGTTTATTTTTAAATTTGATGCAAGATTGTCTAATTGACTTTAATTCAATTAGATTTTCAATATTCGGATTTTTTAGATTTTTACAATTATAAAAATTGGTAGGTGGTCCGAAAGATCACATACCTGTGTACCACATATATCTACTGCATTTGGTTCGCTCGTGAAAATGTTATCAATGACTGAATTTTTATTTAAACTTATTCTTGTTGGGGTTGTTATTAAAGTTGATAGGTTGTATGATGTTAATAATTGTTGAAGTTGGAATTTGCTGGCATTTGAATCAGCATCAAGTAAATTGATGTTCATGTCACCGATCAGATAAACTAATTTGTTCTCTAGACTTATGATTTGTAGTACCTGTTCGATTTGTTGAAGATACATATTTGCGTCATAGGTAGGAGGCCGATATGTTATTACAATTATTGCATTTTTATTGGAACAATCGTTTGTTATTTCTATGCTGAATAATTCTATGCTGCTAATGCTATTGATGTCGTCTCTTGTCTTATACGTAATACCGTTATCAATATACAAACCGATTCCACCCCCGTGCTTACCAGACCGATTTTTACCAACAAAATCATAACCAGTAATATTTATTAACTTGATATTGTCATCATTCAGCCACGTTTCACTTATACCAATAATGTTATATTTAAAAGAAAAGTTGTTTAAATAATCGAGTAAGTCTTCTGATTTGTGAACTAAACTTCTAATGTTTAAATGCATTAGTTTGAAAAACAAACTGTCGTTAATTCCGTTGTCGCTGATGGAGTTATACAAAGCATTTATTTGATTTATATCGTCATATGGTCTGCAGGTTTTTTCTACGAGATTGCTGCGAGTATCGTTAACAGTATTTAACGAATTTTTGTCAGCCATGTTTGTTCGTTGTATCGGAGTTTTTGTCGGTGTTTTTCCCGAAACGCCATTCGCGTACAATGATGTGTTTTAACATAATTTCCGGGTCCTTCATCTTCGGTCCATCGCAACTTTCGACACATACACGAAACATCGTTGATTCTTCCTCATCCTTGTTTACTGGATCGCTTATTTCCTGATTAGAACGTTTTATCACCGGAAAACAAGAGATGACGTTTATACCAATTGTTTTAAGAAAATCTATGACATCATTTCTGTGACATCTTTTTACGTTGCTCATCAAGAAAACGGTCTTTTTTATAAGGTTCTTTTCGGCCTGAAGTTTGCAGTTGTCGATTACTTTGATGCCAATAATTTTTTTAATTGGTTTTGGAATGGATGCGTTAACATTGCCCGTGTTACCGGTGGTATCACTTGATTTCATTTCATTATTATCTTCAGATGAGTTGTTTAGTCTGGATCTTTTTTTATTTCTGGAAATGTACTCTCTAAACCCATCATCCACTGGTGTTTTCTCGGCATCTGACCACAGGTTTCCAGGGTTGAAATTTTGATTATTTACGTCAATAATTAAATCGCTTGACTTTTCAAGTAACTTTGGCGCTATACTTTTTTCAACTTCATTACAGTGTGATGTTTTAGTGCCAGATATTAATAAATTCGATGAAACTTTGTCAGCGTAGCTACAATGATGCATTTTGCTACTTCGTCCTAAGGGATTCGAGTTTGAAAGCAGTTTGTTGTGGTGATTATAATATGTCGTTTTATCGTAGTTCAGCGCTATATTATTAACGGTGTTTTTTACCGCGCCAATTTCCTTGTTGTGCACCTTGCTGTTGGCTGCGCAATATGTCGGTAATTTCTCGTTTTAAACTTTCAAAATTTAATTTAATCAAACTTTCCATATCTGGAATTTTTTCCAGGTCACTACTGACAAAAATCGGACATTTGTCCATCAAATCTGATAAATAAATAATATTACCAAAAATATTAATAACATCGGCAGACGAATTAGAGACAACAAGCTGCTAAACAAATGGAACTTCTCAATTTGGAATATATCAGGTGGTGATATGATGATGAAGATGACCACGATGATGATGACAATAAGGATGATGATAACGATGATGATCTCAGTGATTTTTGATATTATTCAAATAACAATAAGGATAATAGTAACACCGTTACTACAACTACAACTACTACCACTACTACTGCCACTACTACTACTACCACTACTACTACTACTATTACTACTACTACCACTACTACTACTACTATTACAAATAATACTAATAATAACACCGTTACTACAACTACTACCACTACTACTGCCACTACTACCACTACTACTATTATTACTACTACTAATAATAATGATCATAATAAAATAATAATAATAAAAAACAGCCATATGGCATTCAGTGGTCATATATTTCGGAGTCTACTTCGCGGTTAACATAGGCACTACTCTGTTCTCGAACGGATGGGTGAGTAGGATTAATAATAACAATAATAATAACAAGAATAACAAGAATAATAAAAATAATAATAACATTATTGTAAAATTGATACTGCTAGAAGCATCTGGAACCAGCGACATCATCATCATCGTCATCCTTATCAACATCATTCTCATTCATCTTCATCCTTTTAACCGTCATTTTTTACATCACCATAGGGTTTGGGGCTGTTTGATTTCGGCGGTCTGGCAATGATAGTATGTGTAATGGTTGTAAACATTAAGGTTGGTGGCAATTATACTGTTGGTAATTATTTTAATTGTCTTTATATACTGCGTGGTGGGTGATATAGCTTAATGGTTAAGGCGCCTGTTCCTGCTTTCATAATAACCGGGTTTGATTGCAAAAAGATTTCGCTAGTCATATGTGATGTGTGTGTGTGGATTTGCGCGTATTCATATGCGCTACGTGTGTATGTTTGTGATATCTTAGAGGAATAAGAAAATGAAACAATAAGCATTTATTAATAAATCAAGTTTTTTTTATTTGTTTTCAAACGCAGCTGATAGTGGAATCATATTACTTTGACGTCATCATAATTTCTGGTTACGTCATCACCATTTTTGGTTTCTACGTGCTCAGTCTGCCTGTCGCTCTCTTCATCTCGTACGTATCATCATCACCATCATCATCATTAAAATCACCACCACCATCATCATCATTTTTATTATATTTATCTGTTAAAACTAGTTTTTTTATTTTATCACAATTACGAGAGTATGAACTTGCACCGAAAATATCCCGACTCACATTAAATCAATGTTAACTGACTTCAGACATTGAATCAACCAATTTGTATATCCAACAGCATCTGTTCATCATTAGAAATAAATATACCCTCATTAACATAATTCATTCATCCCCAGCCGAGAACCAATAAATATTTGCTCATTAACATAATTTATTCCTCCCCACCTAAGAACCAATCTTCCGGAGACCGTCTCTCTCCACGGATCACTGACGACAATGATGACGTCATGTAGCGCCTGGCTGCTGCAGCTGCTCCTCATTTTTACCGCCATCTTGCCTGACCTGGTGGGTAGGGCCGTACGGGACACTCAAGACAGGAAAAGGAAAAAAATGGTGGCTAACGAGATTGATCTTCTGGAAATAAAAGTTAATAATGATAAGAATTCCGGTGCTGGTCTTGTTTATGTTGCCTGTGTTACAGATTTTATGAATAGTCGGGCTGGTAAAATTAATAATAATAATAATAATAATTAATAATAATAATAGTATAAATATGAATAAAAACATGACAGAAAAAAACAAACATATCTGTGACAGACCTATTGGAAATACGAACACTCTTTGCAGGGATAACTTCAATTTTGATACAGACCTATTGGAAATACGAACACTCTTTGCAGGGATAACTTCAATTTTGATGTTGAAGATCGAGACTACTTAATTGACTCGTTATGACGTATCAAATTAACTAAAAGTTTAGTTAATTATAGTAAGTCTTGTTATCATAAGTCTAATTAATTACGGTTTTAATAACTATATTTTATTATATTTATTATTATATAGTTAATTTTAAAAATAAAATCCTTTAATATGTAAAATTTAAATAAAAATCATCAACAGCCATCTGAATGTATTAAAAGTTTGTCGCGAATGTAAGGTCTTAACAAAATATTAGACGAAATGAATGATTATGAGTTAAGATTTAATGAATAACAAGACGAAATGAATGTTGGCTCAGCATTTTCAGTTGAAATAATATTAAATTAGTTAAAAAGAGAAGCTGTTCTAAAAAAATTTGTGAAAATAAGTTTTTGGTTGGGATAAGAAGATTAATAAATAAAAACCATTGTTTTATTACGAAAATTTCTACAAAAATCATTGTTCTTCCTTTTCAGTAATGCTATATATATATATATATATATATATATATATATATATATATATATATATATATATATATATATATATATATGTATATTCTATCATCTTCTTTATCATCATCGTCATCATCATCATCGTTATGTTACATTGTGATCATTTGCATCATTATGTGGCCATTATCATCATTACCTTCGTTGTGGTAATTATTACATCACCGTCATTACAAAAGTAAAGGACATTATCATCAGCATCGGATCAGAGTCGTCTTCATCACCATCTTTGTCATGATTGCAATCGTCAGTGTAATATACTTTATTATCACATCCACATCGTCATATTTTTTTTGTTTCTGCTCACGTGTTATAAATTTTTATATCATATCTCATATTTCATCACCGTACCATTATGCTATGCCATTATCAACGTCCTCATCCATATGTCCTTACCATCATCATCGTCGTCGTCATCGTCTTTGCTCGCAATAATTTCAAGAAAGATGTTGATACTGTTGTTGTTGTTGTTGTTCCACTCTCTCGCTCCTCAGGTATTCATTCAACTGCGTGAGATGTATTTTAAATAAAAACATATGATGGAGAAAAGTGAAAATAATAAAAATAATAATAAAATAAACACACACACCACACACACACTACACACACACACACTCAGGTCTATGCAAAAGGAAATGATTTATGGAATAACTATACGATGGCATATTAATAACGATAATGGTGATAATGATAATAATAAAAAAAGGAATAATAAGGAAAAATTTTATATTTCAATAATGATAATTGATAGTGTTGTTATTCTAAGCTTTGCTCTTACACTCACCTTATCGTGATAGGATAGTTCGTGAATGGAATCATCAGCCATGCTGCCATTTTCACCGTACATTTCTCTTATTTCTTTCATGCATTCATCAATTTCGGCTTTCCATAACTTTCTGTTCTCTGGTGTGCTGTCTGTGCATACTAATTTTGTTAGTTCTCTCAGTTCCTTAATTTTTGCGGGTAAGTTTTTCATAATTTAATTGTTTTATAGCATATCAACCAATCAACTATCCAATCAACCAACCAATCAGCCAATCAAACATTCAACCAACCAACCAATCAATCATTCAACCAATCAGCCAATCAAACAATCTTACTGCCAACCAATCAGCCAATCAAACAATCAATTAACCAACCAATCAATCAACCAATCAACTCACTTGATCGTGCACAGCTTGTTTAAACTCCATATCATCCTTCATGGTGCTTATCCTATTAACGGCATCAATGCGTTCCAAGCTCTCCTTATCTAGCTCCTATTCAGAGAAAATTTAATCGCACTAATTTGACTGACTGACGTTTTACAGACACTAACACTAAGATAAACACACACACAGACATGTACACACACACAGAGACATGTACACACACACACAAACATGTATACGCACACAGACATGTACACACACACACAGACATGTACACACACACACAGACACACACACAAACTAACATAACATATACCCACACAAGCACGAGCAACAACTTTTATTGAAATCTCTTAAACACATATAAAGCAAACACACACGGAAAAAAACGCAAACACACGCACACACACACACACACACATGAATGAAAGTTATTTATGGCATGATCTGTCTATAACTTTTTTTTATCAATAACTAATAAGTGACAACTTTGGTAAGTTATAACAATAACTTATTTTTTTGATATTGTATCATTACACGCACGCACGCACACATAATATATATATATATATATATATATATACACACACAGAGAAATACAAACTCATACACAAACACACACACACACACACACACACACTGAAAACCATTATTAGATTAGTTGCTGATAACAATGTTTTTATTTATCTAACAACTGCACTTTTTTGTGGTTCTTTTATTTCGTGTTTTTTGTGTTTTTTTTGTATTTCTTCTTTCTTTGTAATTTTATTATTATAGCAATCGACGTTTTAAGTGTTTTGTTATCTACATACATTTATACATACATATGTATATAATATGTACATACATGCACACGTACACACACACATACACATACACGCAAACACACACACATACACATACATGCAAACACAAACACACATACATACACGTGCATGCATACACATAAAATTATTTACTAAAACAACAACACTTTGTGTTACTCGATTTGGTTACATGTGTAATGGAATAGAAACAACTCTTATTAGAATAGAAACAACTCTTACAACACGTCTTAGTTATGTTGGCAAGGCAGGCATACATGTTCGTATTTGTAGAAATAATTTTTTTGTGGTAGAGTTTTTTAATTTTTGCCCTAAATTTTCAAACACACAATCATCAATTATTGTTACTTGTTGAGTTATTTCAACTATTTTTTCCACTTTTATTCAAAAACATTCTTATCCGAGATATATATTTTTCATTCTAATTTATTATTAATTAATTCTAATAATAATAAGTTATTAATAATTTATCCATTAAAATTTGAGATATAAGTTTAGACTTAACTACTTCCAATACTTCCTTCATTATTCAATACTTTTTTATTTATATATTTTTCATTTTAATTTGATTTAGAAAACCTTGAACCTTGAGTTATAAGTTTAGACATAATTACTTCAAATACCGTCTTTGAATTAGTGGAAGAGCTTCTCTGTTAACTCTTAACAATTATACTTCTGCAATTAGTCAGAAATTTTGCTATATATTTTACTGTGAACTAGTTTTACTTCCAAATTTATCTGATGTACCTATATGAAGAACTCCAAGCCACGAAACACTTAGAAGAGAATGATCTCAAATGACGATGATGGTGGTGGTGATGATGATGGCGGTGATGATAACGATGATAATTATAATGATGATGATGATGATGATGATGATGATGATGATGATGATGATGATGATGATGATAGTGATGGTGATAGTGATGGTGATGATGATAACGATGATGTTAACGATGATGATGGGGAGAAGGATGACGACAACGATGATGATAAAACAGACTCCACTTAAAAACGATCACTGTATCTGCGCACATAAATACGAGCGCCTCCTAGACTACATACAAAAATAAGCCACAAAACACACAAAAAATAGATAAAAAAAATTAAAGCCAATTAAAGCATGAAATACACACACACACACACACATACACACACACACACACACACACATACACATACATTTCACACCACAAACAAACACATTAATACTCACAATTAAAATTGCACACACACACATGAAAATTATTCCAGTTAATGTTTACAAACAAACAGACAAACACATAAACGGACTAAAACAGATCTACACACACATACATACACGCACACAAACAAAACTAACACACACGCACACAAACTCACAAACATTTAGAAAAAAGACAAGCACTACCTCTCTAAGAGTAACAACTTCAGCTTCCAGCTTCTGCTTCTCTCTTCCCAAGGCATCCATGTCATCCTCTTTGGTCTGCATGCGTCTGCTCAGTTGGAAAAATTGGCGCTCCAGCGTCGAAATGCTCTTCATGGCGTTTGCTAAGTTTTGGCGTTCCTCGCTCAGTGTTTGGCTAAGGAATTGATTTCTGTTGAGACGATAGTTTGTAGATTTATGGATGGATAAATGGATGTATAGATGGATGGATGAATGAATGAATGAACGAACGAACGAAAAAACGAGTGAATGAACGAACGAACGAACGAATGAATGAGTATTAAAACAGATGGAACATCGAAAATGATAAACGTTAGCAAATTAATTAAAAATATCAGTGCTGGTAGATAGATCGCTAGATTAATGTGTAAAGATATCTACGAAGAAATAAATGCGATACATGAGTGATGTGATGATGGAATAAAAGAACGAACAGATGAATGAATGAATGGATGGATTAGTAAATTAATTGATAAATGAACGAACGAACAAATGACGGAGATGTTAATAGAATGATAAAATGAGGGAGAGAAATGGTGGGGTCTTGTGGCAGGGTCAGTCCATTCAGTGTTTCGTAGGATTAATTTTTCCTCAACAATCATCTTCTTTAAAAAACCAGAAAATAGTTTTACATCAAATTATTGCCATCACATATTTTACAGAAAAGCACACAAAACCATCAAAACAGTTTCTACCAACTTTTCCAACTCTTCCAACAAACGCTCCTCTAATGACGTCACCTGAACTTCCAACTTGGCCTGGTTCTTATTGAGGTCATCCAATAAACGTCGAGACCTCGATAACTCACTTTCATATGCTAATTTTATCGACCTACTTTTACCTAATTGGTCCTTTTTAATTTCATTTAAATTTTTTAAAAGAATTCTGTTTTCTGATTCGAGGAATTTTATTTTTTCAACGTATGACGCGTCGTTGCCAAATATGGATCTGACGTCATTGTTATCTGCGTCATCTAGGTCGGCAACGACCTTTATTTTGTTGTTATGGAAATTTAAATTGTCGTTTTTGTTGTTGCAGAAGTCGCGTTGTTGTTGTTGTTGTGGTTGTTGCTGTTTTTGAGGTATGGGGGGTTTAATAATGTGAGGAACGAATTTTTTGTTTTCAAAAACTATTTCGATATTTCTTTGGTACGGAGTTGTTGATGCTGAAGATGATGTTGTTGTTGATGATGTTGTTGACGATGTTGATGTTGTTGATAATGTTGTTGCGGTTGTTGTTGCTGCTGCTGTGTTTTGTGGTAATGTTTCTACAAATGTAGTTACGTTTGAAGTTGAAAATGGCTGAGATGGCAATGGTGAACTATATTTTATTTCATTTTCGTGGATTATATGATGATAGTTTAGTTGAGTTGTTGAATTATTGTGTGAGGATGGTTGTTGCTGTTGAAGTTGTTGTTGCTGGTGTTGTTGTTGGTTCTGTTGTTGTTGCTGCTGTTGTTGTTGCAAATTTTGATCCTGAAACAGATCCGACTGATTTGTCTGCTGGTGTTGTTGCCGATGAAGCTGTTCGTGTTTTTGGTATTGGTCTTCGTGGGCTTGTTGAAGTTTATCGTGTTCTTTCTGTTGATGTTTGAGTTGTTGTGGCTGTTGTGGCTGTTGTTGTTGTTGTTGTGGTTGTTGTTGTGGCTGCTGTTGTGGCGGTTGTTGTGGCGGTTGTTGTGGCTGTTGTTGTGGCTGTTGTTGTAGTGGCTGTTGTCGTAGCTGTTGAGGTTGTTGTTTCTCTTGCAGTGGCGATGGTGGTTGCGGTTGCCGCGGTGAATGCTGATGACACTGGCAGTGATGAGACATTGGGATTTATTTTAACTTCAATCCAAAAATCAAAATTATCGAAAAAATCAACAGCTTAGAAAGCAGTAGCAAAGCATCAAATATTAATTTAACAATTATCTAAACAATTTTGGGTATCTAATCTTGAAACATCATTGATTTATTCGTATCAGAAAAGTGTTAAGACGACAGTGACAAAACAGATACGAAACGTTGAGAAATAATATACATGAAAATGTTCAAAAACCCTCTCTTTTATTAACATTGATATTTAAGAAACAAGCCAGAGCACTGATCAATTATTTCATACCATGCTGCCTCTTATAAACACAAGAATCAACATCGACAATTGGTAAATAAAAGCGTGCGTATGCGTATGTAGAGAAAATTCATTCTTTATCATCGTCTTCATCATCGTCTTCATCATCGTTTTTGTCATCGTCTTCGTCTTCACCATCTTCGTCTTCACCATCTTCATCTCCACCATCATCGTCATCATAATCATCACAAGATTATTTTAATTGTTATAAAAAAAGCAAAAATTGTCTTATGTGTATACATTGCGTATTTGAATGCGTAATATATTGAAACATTTTCATATATATGTATGTATGTGTGTCTGTGTATGTGTGTGTGTGTGTATGTATGCATGCATTTTCATATATATGCATGTGTGTGCTATGTATCCATGTATGTATGTAAGTATGTACGTATGTTTTTACATTATAACGCAGAAAATGTGCGAATGAAGTTCAGTTGTTTTGTAAACAAGGATGTACGTTTTTTCAATGGAAACAAAGAAAAATAACATTGGGTGCAAACATATATACTTATATACACACACAAATATATATATATACATACGTACATGCATACATACACACACAAATACATACATACATACATACATACCTGCATACATACATGATGATGATGATGATTAAGAAGAAGATGATGATGACGATGATGATGATGACGAAGTTGATCATGATAATAATAACGGAGAGGATCACGATAATGATGTTTAACACTATGGCTTGGAAAACAGGGCAATTTGTGTTAACGATGTAATTGCTGGATGAGTAGAAAAAGGATGATGGTGATGATGTTGTTTTGTTGTTGTTTTTATTTTTATTATTATTGTTATTGTTATTATTCTACTGAAAATTTCTGTGAGAAAGCGCATTAGAAATCTCGTCTTTTTTCATGCATTCGTGTTTGTTTTTGTAATTGTCTGTTTGTTTGGTTGTATTTGTAGGTATGTTATTGTTTTTGTATGTATTAATGTATGTATGTATGTTATTGTGTGTGTATGTATTTATTTATGGGTGTGTGTGTGTGTGTGTGTGTGTGTGTGTGTGTGTGTGTGTGTGTGTAGGTGAAAGAGTGTGCGTAGTAAGTATATGTGTGTGTGTGTATTGTATGTGTGTATGTTTGTATGGGTATTTGCATGTCTGTGAGTTCGTGTTGTATTGGTATGTATGCTTGTGTGCATGTTTCGGCTAACTTTTTTTGGTATTTATTTTCATTTGTTTGACTGCCTGCTTGCATCTGTTAGCTTGTGTTCATTTCATATAGTTTGCGTTCGTTTGTTCGTTTGTGTGTTCACATTTGTTTGTATGTTTGTTCGTTCGTTCGTTCGTTCGTTTATACTATCGTTCTTTTCAGCTC